CAGGGTTCAGCTTTGTGCTGGAAAGGCAGATTTTGGAGAAAAGCACCAATCTCACTGTTCATCACTGCCATACACTGGGCTACTTGCTGCAAGCAATGAGCCTTCTAATAATGCTGTGTGCCAAGGCCTGAAATCTAACCAGACCAGCTCACAATGTCTCCTCCATCACTGCACTGATCTTTTGCTGTCAGCTGCTTACAAATAGGTTTTGAAAGAACAGGGAAAGGACTCAGCAACCCTGCAGCTACACTCATTTTTCTGTTGCACAAATACTCAGCAAAAGCTCAGAGAAGCCAGAAACAAGGTCAGGTTGGAGCTTACTCACTGCAAAGGGAAGGTCCTTTCTCCAGAACCCCCTTCTCCACAGCAGGAGCAGGAGTTCTCACCTCTCAAGGCAGCCCAGCACCCAGGAATGCAGGATGCAAGCAGCTCCAACCCAAGCCATGCTGGCTGAACAGCTTTTGGTACTATGACCTAGGCACAGGCTGTGCAGGCAAGGGGCGGGGGGGAAAGAAATTCAGTCTAAAGCCAGCAAATTATTTGGCACAGAAACAAGTGGCAGCATTTGGGTACATTCCACTAGCAAATCCTCCAAGGGTTCACCCCTCCTTGACTGCTGGAGACGCAGCCAGTGGCTCTTGTGTTCCCCTCAACAAAGCTGCCTTCTCTTGGCAGGAGTCCTGACCCAAAACAGCCTCCAGGATGGCTGAGACAGGAGAGGAAGGGCCGTGGCTACTGAAAGCCCCAATAAAGAGTTAATTTAATGAGGAGTCATGATATGTACCTGCATACAGAAGGACATCTGGCATCTGTTCAGGAACTCGTAGCACTGGGACAGGCAGGCTCCGGGCAGACAAGACAGAAAACAGCAAATAAGCATTTAGGAATGTAGTAAATAAGTCAGAAAATGGCAAATTAGTAAATTGAGAGGTGCTTGACATAGGAGCTGTTTAACTGCCAAAGATGTGGGCCTGCTGCACAAGTAGCATTGTGCTGCTCTCTGTAAAAGTGTGCGACTGGGAAACACGGGAATCGTTTGGAAAAACTTCTGCCAACGGGTAACTCAGCAGGATTTCCCTCCCGCTCCCGCCGACCCCGCAGGACCCTGGCAGCAGCCCCTCAGCTGGCAGGGCAGCCGTGACAAGCACCTTCCTCGTCCCCTCAGCGTGGCCACAGCCCGCAGGTGCCATCCAGGAGCAGCCCACAGGTGCCATCCAGGAGCAGCCCACAGGTGACGTCCAGGAGCAGCCCGCAGGGACACTGCCCGCCCTGCCCGTCTGGGATTTCCCAGGAGCCTCACACCACTGCAGGCTCAGCAGACATCAACATTTTTAGGCTTTTTTTTTCCTTCCTCAAGTCAAGTGAAGCTGCCTAAACCAACCAAAAAGCTGGCAGGGAGATGGCAACTCGTTAACAAGGGCTGTGGGTGAGGGGTCCCAGATCTCTGCGACCCATCAAGGGGGGTGTGCAATGGGCACTTTCTCTTCCCTTGAGATAGGCAGGTCACGGACTGCAACAAACATGGACCAGTAAACATCCCGTGGCAGGATCAGCACAACAGAGGGGAGGCAAAGTTCCCAGGAAACTGTGCAAGATGCTATCAGGGAACACAGGAGCTAAATCTTAGCAACAAGGACGTGTGAAAAGGAAGGAGAGGAAACAACGAACTGTGTGTGAAGGAAAAAAATTCCAAGGAAGTCCTACAATGATCCAGCTGAGGAAGGAAAGACTGTTAAAATGCAGCACATGGAAAAAAACCACTTGGATACGGTGAAAGCCGTGACCTCTAGATAGGAGAGCACAGTCATAAATGTGAGCTGTATCTTATCGTGCAGAAATTGGGAAGGGAGTTTTCCCGGGAGAGGGGGAGCACTGCCCGAGCACCAGGGTGTGGAAGACCAGGAAGACAGGCAAGAGTCCCTTGTGGAGGGAATGATCAGGGAAAAAGGGAACACTTGAAAGTGAAACACTTACCTGGGCAAAGGAGAAAAAAAAGAGACTTTTTGTGAGCATAAAGTTTTAGAAACGCATGACTCTGTTAGAGCAAAGAAAAGGAAAGTCAAACAAACTCACAAACCATCACAAACTCCAGGAGCGTCAGAGATGAGCATTTACCTCCCTGCAGGGGCACGTCATACACCTGCACCACTGGAGGAAGGTGATTGTCTTTACAAAATCAGGGTCTCTCCTTCCACCACCTCCTTTTTTTTCCTGCTCCATTTCTTTATCCCTTCCCTGTTGATTAGCCTGGCTGTCATTTTTATAGCTTATTTTCCGGTGAAACGTTCCCCCCAGCTCCCAGAAGGAGAAGATTACATGTACATTGCTCCCAGGTTGTTCTACAGGCTTTTTTTTTTTTGCCAACTTCGGAAGGAGACACGTCTCCCTGGGGGCTGCCACGGCTGCTCTGCTCGGGCACGGGGCAGGATCCAGCGGCAGGGCAGCGCTGACCTACCCCGGGGATGGGCACTGCCCGTTACTCACAAAAACGAAAGACAAGAAGGGGATGAGAGGAAGGAGGAGTCGGCAGCGGTGGCCGGAGGGGCTCAGAGACACGAGGTGCCGAGTTTCTCAGCTGGAGCTTTGGAGGCGGATCCGAGCGGCTTCTCTGCAGCACCGCCACCCTCTGGCTCCGGGGGAAACCGCTCCCCGTGGCGGGGAAGGGACCCCGAGCCCAGAACCCCGCGGAATCGAGCACCTTTCTGCCCCGCTGGCAGAGAGAGTGGAGGGGAAACCCGATGTGAAACTTCCCATGTGTGGGCACAATCTGTGCGAGAAAAATCCTTGGGGCTGGTCACTAGAGGAGTTGCTGTGGAGCTGCCAACCCTGATTTGATTTGGGGGAACCAGCTCATCCAGCCAAAGACCATGGACACCAGGCAGTCACCACCTCAGTCCTCTGATGCCAACAGCCAGCTGAGGCAGAAGCAGGAGACAA